GGGTATGAGCGCTCCCTCAGACCCCAGCAGCACAAGGCTTTCTCAAGGTCTGACTCTTCCCAGGAAAGCGGGTGGTCACCATGATCCCTCTCCCTCTCAAGTTGCTGAGCTGTCTCAAGTGCCGGCTGTTGTGACAGTTTCTCTGCTGGGATGATTGTTTCAGAGCACAGGAGACTCCAGCAATCCCTGGTGGATATTTAGACTCCACCCCTTTTTTCATAGCTGAGGGGCCAAGGGCAGCAGGAGGGAAGAGAGTGACTCCCCGCAAGGTCCAGCAAATTGAAAGAAAACCCACAGCTCCTCAATCCCAGTGTAGTTCTTTCTACCGAAGCACACCTCAGACACCTTCACTGCCTGCCCCAGATCAGAGCTGCTGACGACATGGTTTTTTTTGCATGAACTCATAGGCCTAGACTACCCCCCAACCCCAGCTATGAAACAGTCTATCCTAAAGAAGTTGGACACTCTAAGTTCATTTCCTATTGGACTATAATTCACATCATAAAACTGTTGCATGTTTATTTTCAAACAGATCAGGGTGAGGGCTCCCTGGAGGTGAATTGGTTTTGTTTTCTGGAAACCTCCACAGGACATGGCAATTTCAGGAGCTCACATGTACATGCAGAGTTCACCTTGCAGGAAGCCAAGTGGGGCCCTTCTTCCCCAAACGTCTTGGCACCCTAGGGATCCAAAGTCCGGACTCTTGGAATGGAAGGGCACACAGAACATCGTGACTCACCTGTCATCCATGTAGTGGTCCCTGAAATAGGAACGTCACATGGTACAAGCAGCTGCATCTCTTGCCCAGGGTCATTTGTAGAAAGAGATCAGAATAAAAGCTGACTTTGATTGAGGGCTTACAGTATGCTAAGGTGCTGTCCCGAAAGCTTGGCATGAGTTAAATCATTCCATCATAACAACAACCTTATGATATAGTGGCACCATTATCCCCATTTTGCAGATGAGAAAATTGAGACAAATTTCCCAAAGTCTTGTAGCCAACTAAAATCACATAATGGACATAAGCGACTGAGCCAGTAACTGAATCTCAACAATCAGGTTCTAGAGCCTGAGCTCTCAAACTGCCTGCCACCCTCCCAACCCCACACCCAAACACACAGACACTCTGACATAAATATCAATGTCAGAGGAGAAGGTCTTAACTCTCCTTCTTACTCCCATTGGAAATATACTTTTTGAAATAAACAGCTCAGGCTTTCTCTTTACCCTTTTGAAATATAAATAGCCCCTGAGTGTGGGTGGCATTAAGTCACTAATACTCTAAGCCAAGGCTTCTCAAACTAAAATGGACATACAAATTGCCTAGCCATCTCGTCAAAATGCAGATTCTCATTTAGTAGGTCTGTGAAGGAGCCTAAGATTCCACATTTCTAACAAGCTTGCAGGTACTGCAGTGGTCCAAGGAGCACACCCTGAGTGACAAGGCTCTAGGCTATTTACCTGAGTGCTTTCCTCCACCAAAAGAGGCACCCATAAGAAGGCAGCCAGAGGGTCAAAGATGGCTCATCAATTTCACAGCTGTGATGGGGCTAGCCCTCCTCCGCCCACCATCAGTAGAGCCACTAGATTTCCAAGCTTCAAGTCTCAGGCATTGGGAGACCTGGGGAAGGTCTTTGGGGTCACAAGAAACCGTGGGGTTGATATCTGCAGCAGCAAAGAGCAAAGCTCTTTGGACCAGAGAGTCCAGTATCTATACATCCCTGGCGGGGGCAGAAATAAGTGTATGGTAACCCCAGGGTCAGGAACAGTCAACACCAACATCTCTCTTACATCCTGCTGACCAAGAGGAACTGGCCCAGTGTGGCAGTTTCCACCTTCTTGCTGGGGAGTTTGGACAGACATTTCACCTTCCAGTTCCATTTGTTTGACATATAAAATGAGAGGATTGCACTAGATAATCTTTGAATCTTTCCCCTCCTTCCTATCCCAATCTATGAGTCTACAAATGCCTATACAATAAATAAAAATTCAGCCACTGTTCTGCACATCTAAATATTCTGATGTCCTTGTTGCCAACACCACATAGCAGGATATCAGACAGAACCCATTAACTTTCCAGTGGAGGCTGAACACCACAAACACAGCTCTCACAGGAACCTGGCCGCCCCATTCCTGGTCCCTCCCCTTGGGAAGCAGATGGAGGAGGCTGATTCCCCCGAGTAGCCAAGCATGCTGCCTGAGCCCGGAGACTGGAAGGCAGAGCCTAGTCCCCAGGGCTCTGTTTCACAGCCAAAACACACCGTGTTGTGTTCCTACCAGCTCTGAAGACCTCACACAGCCAAGAGAAACAGGCATTTAAGAGCAGAAAGGGGCAGCACTTGACCCCTGGCCTCTTTGGTCTGGCTCCCTCTGACAAGAGGACGCAAAGCACTGTGGCCTAGTGAGGGGCATGGTGGCCCAGTATAGCCAGCCCCACAGAGCTGGGCTCAAACCCCCAGGTCCCTGGATCTGAGCTGCAGACTCTCTAGCCTTTAATGTTACAAGTGTCTTTCCTTATAAGGGCTAGGCACAGAGTAACTGGGCCATAAAGTGAGACCATTCCTTTGAGTGACTGTTGATAATAAATCAGATACTCTCCAGATCTGTTCTCCAATCTGACAGAGTCCAAGAGACACTTGGAACCTGTATTGTGGAACAACTAAAGATCCAGGTTTAGAAATGCTTACAAGCCATCAATGTGTATCTATGTAATTCTAAATTTTTAGTAGGGGTGCCTGGGTGGCTCAGCCCATTTAATGTCTGACTCTTCATTTCAGCTCAGGTCATGATCTCACGGTTCATGGGTTTGAGCCCCACATCGGGCTCTGTGTTGTCAACACAGCAACATTAACACCACCCTATTCCCACCAACTTGCGCCTATACTCCTTCAGTAAATACTTTTGGAACTCTGACTGGCCAGTGGAGAAGGCATTGGTCGGTGCAAAAAAGCACCTGCAGGGGAAATTTCTCAACAAATGAAGTATTCAGTATTGTTTCTTTTTGAAAATGTGATTTAAGTGAGGACCTTGAACAGCAGAGCTCAGCATGCATGGGTGCAGGGTTAGAACAGAGTCAGGGCATTAGGGGGTGGAGGGAAGGGTGAATGCATTTGGATGGATTATTTGCCGGTAGAGGAGAGGTTTGAGAAGTACTGTGGTACAGACGAGCCAAGTACAGGGTACCAGGCTGGAGAACACAAGGACGCCGAGTATTAGGATCTGGCTGGGACAGTGTGAGTTTTAAAAATAAGACACATCAGAGAATATTGGACATTAGATACAAGGTTCAAGGGAACCAGGGCATGGCAGCAGGTGGAGCAGAGTGAACAGCCCTCCTCCAGTCAGAAAATGGCACTGAGGTTTTTTCTACTAACTCCATGGCTTGCTCACCAAGCTTTTTTTGGTCTTTATTTTGTCGTGAGGACAAGGTTTCGCTTGTCTCTTCCTTCTTTCCTCCCTGACACCCTCCTCTCCTCTCTCTCCTGGATCAATTGTTACCTCTGCCAACAGAAGGTGGTGGGACAGAGGGGAGGACCAAGGGGAGCGGGGTCGGTGATACAGACCCATACAACTCGGCACCACCTCCTCCATTCCTTGTAAAAATTGGGATAATATTACTAGCCTGATAGACTGGAAGCTGAACCAGATGTCTTCTAGTGTTCAATTCTAGAACTCTAGGAAACAAGCCAAGAACTCTCCAGCCTAAGTCTTGCTACCAAAATGAGACTCCCACACATGGACCTCATGGCATACCACTACTCTGACTCCACCCTGGGCAGCGGTCACACCCCACCAGAACAGGCTCCTTCCAGGTAACTGCCCAACACACACACACACACACACACACACACACACACACCTAGATGTACACACAAATACACAGCCATGCACATACACACACACACACACACACACACACACACATGTACATGTACACACACATACAGAGGCACAAGCACACACATGCACACACAGGCACAGACAGACACACAAATAGACACACATATCCAGATGTGCACACAGACACACACATGCACACACACAGAGACACATTTACCTACATGTGCACACACACACATATGCACAAACACACACCCAGGTGCAGACAAACACACACATGCATGCACACAAACCCACAATTTCCTCCCCGTTCTGTGAGATTTTATCCCCTCTCCAGAAATGAACACTTCTTTCTCCAAAACATAGCCCTTTCCTCTTTCCAAACCCTGCCCAGACTTTCAGTCTTCTGTGAAACCTTTCTGCATTAATCCTTAAAATCTGACCACCTTATTTATTCAACTGTCTACTCAACAATTTTATCTACTTGTGCAACCAGCTTTTTAAACTATTTCCTTTCATATGAAAATAATAGTATGCTCACAACCTTTCAGTGTGTTTGCATACCTATTATAGTACCAAACATAATGTTATGCAAAAAGCAGAAGCTCATTAAAAATGAGCTGAAAAAAAATGATCTCCACAGTGTCTCTATGAGGAATTAATGATAGTTAACATTTATTTTGCATTGAACAACATGACCACCAGCACTGTGCTAAGCACTTTATATACAATATCCCATTTCATCAATAACCCTATAAGATAGGCATTACAGATTTTTTATGTTTATTTTTTAAGTGTATTTATTTATTTTAAGAGAGAGAGAGAGAGCACAAGCAGGGAAGGGGCACAGAGAGAGAGGGAGAGAGAATCCCAAATAGGCTCCACACTGCTAGCACAGAGCCCCATGTGAGGTTCGAACTCATGAACCGTGAGATCATGACCTGAGCCAAAGCCGGATGCTTAACTGACTAAGCCACCCAGGCATGCCTAGATTTTTTATTTAAAAAAAAAAAAAAAAAAAAAAAAAAGCTGTGGCATAGAAGATTCTAGAATATAAGGCAGTCTGATTTCAAATGCCACACTTTTGCCACTGCACAAAACAACTGTCTTTCCATTTAACCATTAACTACACTGAGACACACAGACATTAAGTGAATTACCTGAAGTCACGTGGTTGGGGCTAGAAACCAGGCACTCTCCACTGAGCATCACCACCTCTTTCCAGCTTGGCAATTGAACTCTTCCTTCCATGTGAGAGAAGTGTATACATGAAACAGCAAGGACTTTAAAGCCAGGCAGAGACTCAGTTTCACCTTTTGTAAAAAGAAAATAGCAATAATTACCTAGCCAGGTTGCTGTGGGGGTTAGGACCAAAGAAGACCACGCATTTCCTGGCACAGAACTAGAGCTAGCTTTCAGCCTCTTCTCTCCTCCGGTCTCCACCCGCCCCCCTTCCCACACACTGCAGCCTGTGGGCAGTGTCCTTGTTCCGTCTGCCTGACCTCGTCCTTGAGAGCCAGTATCAGACCAAGCAGGCTGCCCTAAGCATACTCATTAAGAAGGTTTTGTCCCCTGACAATCATGAAGACACTGCAGAAATGGGATCACAGAACTTGTGTTGCTCATGCTTCATGGAGGCTCTCCCGCTGAGTAGTACAGATTCCATCCAAGAAAAAGACAACCACCCATTGTGGATGGGAGGAAAGCATCTGCTCCGGAAGGTCCCCCTTCCCCTGTTCATAGGGAACCTCTCCCCATCAGCCCTTCCATAAATTCTACCTGTGCACTCCAGTTGCCCTCTCCTGTCTTGCTATGGTGGCATGAGGCTAAATTAATTAATGTGTGTAAACCATGTGGAAATGTTTGGCTTGCCAAGTGCTCTTGATAGGTTTGAAATACTATTGGAAGCAGTGGAAATTGGCACGGCTATCTGGAGCAAAATTGATCTCACCCCCAGGACTCCTGAGATTGACTTTGGTTAATGGAGGCATATGCAGATAGAGCAGGATAGTCATTAAAAAACACTATGGATATATTTCAAGCCCTTACTGGGGAGCAAGGAGACAGAATTAAAAGGGAAAGAAAGACACCAGCATAGGGATTCTCCTGTGATGCATCAGACCCAAAGGGAATTGCCCAAGGTTAGGACAAGAGAAAGGGGATACCTACTAAAGTGAGGCACATGGGGCTGGGTGGGTTTGGAGAGGCAAAAATCCAGTCCTAAAATTATGGGTGCTTGTATTTGTGAGCACTCAGAGGATGGGCAGGTACATAATGCCCTTCCCTAAACAGACTCCTCTTTGCTTCTGCGACTCCATCAGCTCCTGAAAAAGGAGGAAGGGGAAGAAGTACCCTAGCCTGGGGCAGGACTTACTGGAGGGAACCAAGAGACCTGCCTCAGGCAAGGGGCTGGGCTTGGTTCTCTCCTAAGGGTGGTATTATCAGAGGTCAACCAGAAAAGCAGAACCAGTAGAAGATAATACATAGTACAGAAAGAGATTTATTGCAAGAAACTGGCTTATATGATTGTGGAGGCTAACTTGGCAGGTCCGAAATCCACAGGGTGAGCTGGAATTCTCAGGCATGGGGTGAAGCTGTTGTCCACAGGCAGAATTACTTCTTTTCTCAGAAAAGCTTCAGTTCTGCTCATAAGGAATTTCAACTGATTGAATCAGGCCCACCCAGATCATCCAGGATCATCTTCTTACTTAAAATCAGCCAATCATGGACTATAATCACATCTACAAAATACCTATGTACCAACACCTACATCGGTACTTGAGTAACTAGGGACATAGCCCAGCCACACTGACATGCTAAACTGCCCATCACAACTGCTCTGTCCTCCCGCCACTCAGCCCCCACCTCCTCTACTGTCAGACCCACCCACCTCCTACTGAAGCCTCCCCATCTCACATGGCTCTCCAGTGTCCCAGTCCTCCAGGAATGGCCCTGTGAGCTGTCTGCCAGCCAACCCTATCAAAACCAGGTCTCCAAGATAGAGTGTTTGCATGGCTTCTCCCTGTCATCACTTTTCCAGCAGCTGCCTGAAATAGCCTCCCACCTGCTATCCCTGCCTCCAAATCCTCATTGTCAGGAGAGTGTATTTCTAATCTCTACACCTGGTCCATCTCTTTGGGGACTAAGACTCCTTCAGCAACCACCCACAGGGTTCCTATTGAATCATGCTTTCCTCAGAGTGGTGTCTAGCCCACCTTCTCATCTGCCCACACTCCCCTCTGTGCTTCTGCGTTTCCTGGAACTGACCACACTGCTCACCTCCATGCCAAGGCCCATGTTCTCCTCTGACCTTCACCCATGTCTTTGGCTCCCCACCTCTGCCTCCTCACTGAGGACTAGCTCCCCTGGTGAGAGAAGCTCCCTCTCTGGACCAGAACTACCTGTCTATCATCTGCCCCCACTGCAAACTGACCATCGCACCTCTGCCCCACTAGCGCCCATCCCGACATCCATAGGGCTGACTATGTGTGTCCTGCAAATGCTGGCTCAGTTCATGGACAAAATACACCAGCAGGGTTTCCTCAGCACCTTGTGTTAGCTTGGCTCCTCATGTTATTCCTCTGCCTGTAGTTCCTTTGGAAATTTATTGGGGGTAGGGAGTGGTTTTTTTTTATCCCTCTCCCTTCTCTGTCTTCCAATTTGAGAACTGTTTTGAGCAATGATAGTGTCATGAAAGTTTATGGTATACAGAAGTTACGGCTTGAGGTATTGAGGCCCATTTCAGGAACTGAAAAAAAAAAAAAAAAACCATAGCGTAGTGCAGCCAAGAGGGTAAGGCAGGCAGGGCAAAAAGCAGGGCTGGACACTGGTCTAAGGAGTGGCCATTGACCCTGAAGACTGCAGGGAGCCTTCCAAGTGTCCTCAGCAGGGCAGGGACAAGCTAAAGTCCATCTTAGGAGTACCCTCCTTTGGCAACAGGAGGAGGGGCTAGGAGACCAGCCACCTGGCTGTTTCTAGAATGTGCTTCAGAGGAGATGAGGGATAGAACTAGGCAGAGGCCAGAAGAGGAATCACCAAGATTTCAGGATCCAAATCTAGGGTGAAAATAGGAAACCTGCTCATACAGACAGATGTTCAGACATTTTTAAAGGAAAAATTACTTTACAGCCCCAGACTTTGATTCGTTCATTCAGTAAATATTATTTGAACATGTAATTTGTTAGAAGCCTAGAGATTTGACAGTAAAACAAGGTTCCTGCTTTCAAGGAGCTTCATCCCAGTGGGAGGGAAGGACAGGAAACAAATGGGGATGTGCCAGAGTGTCAGATGGTGGTAGCGTGCTGTGGAAAGTGACAGGTAAGAGAGATGGAAAGTCAGTGGGGGATGGGGTGCTACAGTAGAGGGGTGTCTGGAGAATACCTTTCTGAGGAACCATGACTAACCAGGAGAGGGTGGTCTACGCAGAGGAAGTGGCACATGCAAAGATCCTGGAGCAGGGGTGGATTTAACATGCTCTAGGCAGAGGAGAAGATGATGTCAGAGATGTAGCCAGAAGTTAGGTGTGGAGGCCAAGCAGAAGGCAGAAGGACTTCAGCTTGTGTCTACACAAGCTGGGCAGTCTCTGGAGAGGTCTTCAGCAGGGAAGGGACTCGCGCTACGTATTCAAAGGACCACTCAGGTTGCTCCGGCTGGACTGAGGCAGGCACAGGAGGAAGCTGAGACACATAAACAAGGAGAAGGATGATGATGCCTTAGGCGCCACCACTAGCAATGAAGGCAATGAGAAAAGCCAATTCCAGATGTAATTTAGAGGTGGAACTAATAGGAATTGCTGCTACATTGCAGTGTGGGGTGTGAGAGAGAGTCTAGAGCACTTGGGTGGGGGTGTCTTAGTCCATTCCAACTGCTGCAACACAAACCATTGACTGGGGTGGGGGGCTCATAAACAACAAACATTTATTTCTCACAGTTCTGGAGCCTGGGAAGTCCAAAATCAAGGCGCCCCAGATTTGGTGTTCGTTCTTTGTTCATAGACAGCTATCTTTGCTGTGTCCTCACATGTCTCTTTTACACGTGCACTAATCCCATTCGTGAGGGCTGCACTCTCTTGACCTAATCACCTCCCAAAGACTCCACCTCTTAATACCATCACATTGGGGTGTAGGTTTCAACATATGAATTTGGGGGACACATTCAGTCCATAGCAGTGAGTGACAGTCTCTCTTACTGAGACTGGGGACCTCAGGCTGATCAGGTTTGTGGAGGTGCAGGCTAATCAGTATGTACCCAAGCAGAGGTACCTGACACATCTCATATCTTTACTTTTTTACTAAATAGGCCACCCCCACATTCACACAGCATTTGTGGCTCACATATACCATGGAGACCCTGAGACTCAGAGCATCCTCAAGTGCCTTCTGAACTCAGCAGGGGTTTGCAATTCAGTGTGCATTTACCCACATGGGTTATCTCTGTCACTCTTTACCCATCATAAGGTATTATACTCAGAGCCTCCTCTTTCCTGTTTGAAATGATCTCCCTGCGGAGAGATAGACAGAAAAACATCTGAGATATGGTGGCTTAAAAGAGGTGGGGATGGGGAGGAAGCAGAACCTCATTGCTGTGGGGGTGGGGTGGGGAGGATTCAATGGACTGTTCCTCACCTCCCTCATTTCTCCCACAGTCCTCTTGGGTGGTAGGTATTGGCAGGGCCACGTTATGACTTGTGGGGACCCTAGGCACTCAGCTTTCATAGGTCTCTTTCTCCATAAAAAAATATTAAAAATTATATTTTATGACCACATTGGTATTGAGATGAATATAATGCAGGCCGGATTATATGTGTTTTTTCTTTCTGATTTTAAAGAAAAATTAAAGCAATGTTGTGGTCCTGAAGACTATCATGGGCTCCGGGCACAGTGCCTGTTGTGCCCAATAGAGAAGTGTCCCTGGGTATAGGAACGGAAGAGGGTGGGTCTGGAGCGACAGCAGCCATCAGGAGACCTGGGCCCCTGTCCTAACTCCCGAACAATAAGCTATGAGATCTCTGATCAGTGTCTCCACCTCACAAGGCCTCCTAATCTCTCCAAGGAGGGGTGGAACTTGACCATCTCCTGGCGGCCTTCTAAGCAACAACTCCCAAGGTTCTAACTAAAGCATGCAGACCTCGAGCTTCATTTTTTAGCTTTCTGACCCCAAGGGAAGGCTCTTCCTCCCCCCTCCCGCCCCACCCCACTAACTACAATATTAAACTTGTTTTCCTTTCTGGATCTCCTTCTCTCATCAAATCATTTGCTGGTGTGTGCAGCCACTGATTTCCAAAAAGCGGCCATAAAACCATAATGAGTATGGAGATACCAACGTGAAATGACAGAGAGAAGGCCATAAACATTCAAATAAATATATAAATATAAACAAGTCTATAAACCAAACCCGGGAGGTATTTTAAACGCATAATGTAGCATTTATATCTCTTACTTTGCGCAGCAGAACTTTCAAAGGAAATTCATTTAATTCTATTGCTCACACCCCTAACCCCCATCCAGGAGTAATCGCTAATAACCAGCACAATTACCGCCTCCCTCCTGATGGAGAGTTCATTTCAGAAGCTCGTTCTTGAATTCATTATCATGCTGGAAATGAGTTGAATCACAGCGGATGTGACCACATGATGATCCCCCTGCTTCCTTCCAGTTGGGTTCAGCGTGATGCCTGCTGCAGCCCTGGCCCCTGCCAGCCCTATTGCAAAGGGAGCTGCCTCTCCGTGCCTGGCCCGATTTAAAGAAGCTTGTCAGGAGTTAGGAAGAGGGCACATGACTCTGCCTTATTATGGGCTTGATGGGTGGAGGGACACCGCCCACCTTGCTTAGAGCATGGCTGTGGCCCTCCCTCTCCAAAGGAAAGGAACCTAACCATAGCTCACGTGTCCTGCCAGGAAATGGCCAAGAGTGAACTGAGCAGCACCACGCATACACTGGCCGTTTCCACTGCTTCCAGGTCCTCATTCGTCCAGTCCTCAACAAGCCCTGGGGTAGTTCAGGGCCAGATACAGATTTAATGGAGCCTTTGTTTAAAAAGCAGGGGAGGGGTCTCTGGGCGGCTCAGTCGATTAAGCGTCCAGCTCTTGACCTCAGCTCAGGTCTTGATCTGAGGGTTGTGAGTTCAAGCCCTACATTGAGCTCTGCCCTGGAGCGTGAAGCCTACTTAAAAAAAAAAAAAAAAAAAAGCTGGGGAAACATGCAGTTAAGGGTACTAAAATATAAAACTTTTTTCATTCTTCCTTGGGTGGTTTCCTCTGCACCCCCACCACCACTCCCTCCCTCTCTCTTCTTGACCTGTCATAACCTATCATGATGTTTTTATCTGCTATTTAATGATGAGGTCCCAGAAGCTCAGGGATTCTTGCTAGGTGAGCACAGACTCTCACTGCACAGGGCCCCACCCAGTGACTAAGTGTACACACAAAAGATCCACTCTCTGCAGGTTTCCCTCCCACCAGCCATCAGATTGCCACACTGAGGCCCAATCAAAGTTGGAGAGTTGAGCCAGGGGTCTCCCCTTCCCACAAGCCCTCCAGCCCAGCCCACTGTGAATGCATGATCCCCAAGGGACTGCCATCTATGTGCCAGGTTCTGCTCAGTACCAGGAATGGGCCAAAGTGCTGCAGGGTGCATCACCTAACTCCAACCCTCCCCACACCTGTGCGCACCTGAGCACAGAGGGTAGCAGCAGTCCCAGGGTGAGGGGCCAGGAGGGAGAGGCCCTGGGCACCTAAAGGCAGTTGAGAACAGGAGAGGCAGCAGGAGGCAGGACTGAGTATAAGCCAAGGATCCAAGTCACCCCCATTCATGGTCCACTGACCTATCAAATTTCACATATAAAACACAATGTTAGGATTTTGAACAATTGAATAAGTTTGAATTATTAAGAATTTCAAGATGGTGCTTGTGGAGCATCAAACCCCAAGCCTGGGGCCCTTTTAAGCACAAGACTATATACAATTGCACTGGTCACATGCCCTTGAAGCCAACTCTGGGTAGATATTACCACAGTCCTAATTTTGCATATGGGGGGGGGTCTCAGGCCCTATAATTAGCCCAAGGCCATGATGCTGGGAAGTGGGGGACACTAAGACTCAAACTGCATAATCTGGCTCCAGAACCTCATTCTTTGCCATTTCCCCATGCTGTGCCTCATTCCAGTAAACCTGGCTGCCTCCCCTCAGGGTGATCAGCACAATACCACATGGTCTGGTGGAAAAGGCAAAAGAGAGTACGCACCCCAACCTGTACCATATGCTGACTCAACCAGCCACTGGCTGTGTGTCTTTGGGCAAGTCATGTAGCCTCTCTGAACTTTAGCCCAATCTGCCACCTGAGGGGCACTGTGAAGAAAAAATCTGAAGTAATAAAGGTACACTTATGGGGAAGCACCTGTCTTACCTAATACATATAAGACAAGTAGGAAAGCCTGACCAGAACTGGACCTCTCAACCATCTCCTTCTTTCCCAGGCTTTTCCCCACCCCTCTGTAGGCAACGGACTCTGACCCTGAATGTAGAGAGGACAATGCACATGCTTTGTAATATAACTACTCTGTAGCCACACAGTAAGAAAGGGACAGGCTGGGCCAGTTCCACCATTCAGGTTTCTAAAGGATGTAATATTTTATGGGTCTATGTACACCTGCTTTGAGTTCATCATCTTAATTGCAATGGAGATTTTTTTCTTATATGCATATAGTCCACCGGGCTAGCTCTCTCCATTGATGATCCAGGACTTCCCCTGCCCAGCCAACATTTGCACCACTGCATAGATGTTTGCTGAATGAAGTCATCGAAAGTCTACATGACGTTTTTCCTCAAATGAACTCATCAGATTGACCCAGTAGTAAGCATTGAAAGTAAGACTGAACTATTAGTAAGCATTGACTTAAGGGACCCAAAACTGTAGTAAGGCGAGAAAAAGCCTTAGGGACCCTCAACCTTTATGTCTTTTCTGCTGAACTAGAGTGACATGTGCTTCCTCAGACAAGCTTGGGAGCTTTCCTTTGGCCTCATCATAGAAGCTTCTGCTTTGGCAAGACTGGCTGAAAGATCTAAACAGTCAGAGCCTTTGCGTTGTAATTTATGTAATTTATGCCAGTAATTTATGCCAGCTGAGGGCGTGCATGGCCGTGTGTGATGCCCAAGGGCCCCCCATCTCTCCGGGATCCAGGGCCTGCTCGAGGAGTGCTAGTTCACTGCCCAGACCAAGACAAATATATTTGACAGAATTTCAGCTCTCAACTTCAGCCAAGAGAGTTATTTCATTAACTAATGGCCATAGACGAGGGGCGCTTGGGTGGCTTGGTTGGTTAAGCGTCTGACTTCAGCTCAGGTCACGATCTCACAGCTCATGAGGTCGAGCCCCACATCAGGCTCTGTGCTGACAGCTCAAAGCCTGGAGTCTGTTTCTGACTCTGTCTCTCTCTCTCTCTCTCTCTCTCTCTCTCTCTGCCCTTTTCCTGCTCATGCTCTCTCTCTCAAAAATAAAGAAACATTAAAAAAAATTTTTAAGGCCATAGATGAGACATACGATGGTCAGTGGTTGTTAGGAACATGTGTACATTGCTCAGTATAGCGCCTGGTTCATAGTAAGTGTTTGACCAAAATGTCAGTCCCTGACAAATGTAATCTCTCTTGGGGAGGCTTAGGGAGCAGCATGATTTGTCACTCCTTCCGTGGGGGGATTGGAGGCTATTTGCCCTAGAAAGGGACAGTATGAGAGTTGGACACCCTGATAAAGGGAGGACAGAGGTGGACAAAGGAGTGTGAGGCATGGCGGGAGCAGGGATTATGGAAAACTGAAAACCCCTTTTACCTCCTGCTCTGCTTTCCCATGGTCTGGCTCTAGAAAGCTCAGGAAGAGAGTTAGTATGAGGTCTCTGGTGTAATGTGAAAAACATCTCTACTCAGAATCACTTCCACTGCTTTTACTTTCCCCCAGAGACCATGTAATTGTAATGGGCACATGAGTTGGTCTTTCCTGAACAAACTCAGGTTCTTACAAGAGATCAGAAGACACAAAATATCACTCAGGTCCTTTCAAAAAAATCTCCTCTTGGATCACTTATTTCTTGAGGCCAAACAGCTTGTACTTCCTCATTGTAAAATGCAGACATTTGAGTGCTTTCTCCAGAGCAAAAATTGGTTGACACTCCCCACTGATGAATTCAAACATTTTGACTTGAACTTATTCAAATTCCCATCAGTGTAGTCAATGGATGTCACATCAAATATCTGTCAGCACAACCAGCCAAGTCGATTAGACACCTGGTCTTTTTAGTCAGCTAAACTTGTTATTTCTGAAAACAAAAATAAAAAAAAATCAAGATAAAAGTAACCTATCAGTTTAGTTAGCAACTGACTAATAACTTCTATCAAAAAGTACATTTTTGTCGAACTACTTTGATTTTTTTTCCCACTGAATCTACTAAATCAATCAGTTGTGTGTGGGGTGGGGAGGATATTGACCAGATGTGCAGCTTGCTGAACAAGCAGGGAAGTGAACATCAGAAATGAAATCATCAAAGAGATTCCATCAGAACGGCCACTGCTCAATCATCCACAATAACAATGAGGAATGGGATCCTGCAAGATGTATGACAGGTAGTCCCTAATCAGGACAATTTGCTGCACTGAAGAGCATTTTTCTATTCTTTCTAGAAATTCACCTTCCTGTCTCGTTTGTCCATAATTGATAAGAAAATGGGTGTGATTGCCCAGGGAGTGCTGATTTGTGTCCCCAATTGCCTGTCAACCATCAACAAGCTCATGGCAGGTTCACTGAAAACTGAAAGTTGATTGTATTTATTTGGGGTCCCTTGAGTGTTATATTATACTGAATTAATTCTGAAAGATATGATGCCTTCCCAAGTCCAGAGGATTACGATGAATTCAGTGTTTGGCACAGTCTATTTTAGACCTGAACTAAAGAATTAAAATCAGTTTCTTTGTTTAAACTGAAACCCTTCAACCTGGCCTTTGGCACCCTCCTTCTCTACCTTTACTCTTTTCTCAAGCCTCACCTCACCCTTTCCCAGCTCCCCACCTCCTCACACACCCTCCCCAGGATGCCTGGAGCCTTGATACTTACTGTTCCAGAGCTCTCCCTGCAGGGGCAGCCATTTAGTAGACCAAGTTATACCAAGGGATCTTTTACTTACTGTGCTAAATCTTTCCAAGGGTGCTTGTTTTTCAAAAGAGGATACCTGAAGAGGTCTATGTTTAGTTCAAAGGAGTAAATCACTAATGATATAATTTCGGATGCCAGGTAACTGGAGAGAATCCAAATGTCAGCAGACAGGATTTTAACAAAGCCAAGTATTGTGAAGAGCAGTCTTGCTTAGAGAATCCAAACATATTCACTCTTGAATGTATTCATGGAGAATTAAGTGGCCCACTTTTGTCCAATTCAAAACTTTCACTGGTCAGATTTTCTCCTGGTCATAGACATTTCTGCAACTGGAATAAACTGATTATTTATTGCTAACCACTCACCACCTACAATTCACTTTTCCAATTTTCCTTGTTGCCTGTACAGTGCCACTTTGTCAATCCCTGCAGTTTATTGACTGTGTTCTGATGGCTGGGGTAAACAAATTACTTCAAGAATAACTGGAGCAAAAAAGGCATTGCTTTCTGGCTTCTAATGATGGAGCTGGTGTGCGACCCAATTGGTCCTAATGTCAGCAGGCAATTCACCGTCATGAGGGTGCAAGTCACATAACCCATACTATCAGTGACAAAATTTTGTATGGTACATAACATTGACCTTGTTTTATTCTGAGTAAATATCAGATAATATCAGATCAAATGATTTTGCAGATAAAATACTCCCAAATTTTGAAGTCTACTCTTTTAAAATCCATTGAAAATACACTGCTCAGTAACAACTCTGCTTTATGAATGCATTAAAAGCATCAATAACCAAGAAGTGCACACTCTTACATTAGGGCCAGAGGACGTTTATTGGATCTGGGGTGTCTTGTACCGTTTAGACCCAAATCTGTCCTTAGCTCAGTGGTTTCCAAATTTCTTTACTGTGCAGTTCTACCAGAAAAATATTTTTGAGCAGGCACCCCAATACGTTTGTTTAATTACAAATTATATTTATGTATCTACATCAGCCAATATGTCAAGGCACAATACACAGGTCAGGGTCATCTATAATGATAGTCAATGTAAACCCTTTTTATTTTTTTTTAATATAATTTATTGTCAAATTGGCTTCCATACAACACCCAGTGCTCATCCTAACAAGTGCCCTCCTCAATGCCCATCACCCACTTTCCCCTCTCCCCCACCCCCATCAACCTTCAGTTTGTTCTCTGTATTTAAGAGTCTCTTATGGTTTGCCTCCCTCCCTCTCTGTTTGTAACTTTTTTTCCCTTCCCTTCCCCCATGGTCTTCTGTTAAGCTTCTCAAGATCCATATATGAGTGAAAACATATGATATCTGTCTTTCTCTGACTGACTTATTTCACTTAGCATAATACCCTCCAGTTCTATCCACATTGCTGCAAATGGCCTGATTTTATTCTTTCTCATTGCCAAGTAGTATTTGATTGTATATATAAACCACATCTTCTTTATCCATTCATCAGTTGATGGACATTTAGGCTCTTAACATAATTTGACTATTGTTGAAACTGCTGTTATAAACATTGGGGTACATGTGCCCCTATGCATCAGCACTCCTGTATCCCTCGGGTAAATTCCTAGCAGTGCTATTGCTGGGTCATAGGGTAGATCTATTTTTAGTTTTTTGAGGAACCTCCACACTGTTTTCCAGAGCGGCTGCACCAGTTTGCATTCCCACCAACAGTGCAAGAGGGTTCCGGTTTCTCCACATCCTCTCCAGCATCAATAGTCTCCTGATTTGTTCATTTTAGCCACTCTGACTGGTGTGAGGTGGTATCTGAGGGTGGTTTTGATTTGTATTTCCCTGATGAGGAGCAACGTTGAGCATCTTTTCATGTGCCTGTTGGCCATGTGGATGTCTTCTTTAGAGAAGTGTCTATTCATGTCTTCTGCCCATTTCTTCACTGGATTATTTGTTTTTCAGGTGTGGAGTTTGGTGAGTTCTTTATAGATTTTGGATACTAACCCTTTATCTGATATGTCATTTGCAAATATCTTTTCCCATTCCATTGGTTGCCTTTTAGTTTCGTTGATTATTTGCTTTGCAGTGCAGAAGCATTTTTATCTTGATGAGGTCCCAATAGTTCATTTTTGCTTTTAATTCCCTTGCCTTTGGAGATGTGTCAAGTAAGAAATTGCTGCAGCTGAGGTCAAAAAGGTTGTTGCCTGCTTTCTTCTCTAGGGTTTTGATGGTTTCCTGTCTCACATTCAGGTCTTTCATCCAATTTGAGTTTATTTTGGTGTACGGTATAAGAAAGTGTTCTAGTTTTCATTCTTTGGCTTGTTGCTGTCCAATTCTCCCAGAACCATTTGGTAAAGAGACTGTCTTTGTTTCCATTGGATACTCCTTCCTGCTTTGTCAAAGATTAGCTGGCCATACATTTGTGGGTCCAATTCTGGGTTCTTTGTTCCATTCCATTGGTCTATGTGTCTGTTCTTGTGCCAATACCATACTGTATTGATGATTACAGCTTTGTAGTAGAATGTAAGCCTTTTTAAAGTAGACTTCATAATTTTGACATTTTGGGGGCCTAATTCTTATTGTGGCTAATTAGGTTGTCATTGCCTTTACTTTCTAATGTGGCTGGAATCATCAGAACATAATCAGAACTGAAGAAGCAATAGCACCACTTTCCTGTGATTTATTTGGACTTATATTAGTCATTTTTTATGTTCTGAAATTTCTTCGTAGGACTCTTTCTAATCCATTTGTCCATTTTGTGTCAATCCTTTTGTACCATGGAAATTCCACTCTATTCCAGAATGATAATAATAATATTAATAACCAATAAGAAGCACTTATTCAGAAAGTTTTCCTCCAGAGCCTAAATAGATAGCCACTAACCTCCTAATCTTGCAACACTAAAGGTGTGGTACATAAGATCCATAAATGACATATGACAACTTGAAAAAGGATCTGAACCAGGATACCTTAAGTTTATCTCAATTTTTAGATAAAAATATACATAGAAGTTCTAATATGTATCCACACCCCAATTGACTGAGTGTCTTACAATACCCCTCAGGATGAATGTCCCACTTTGGGGACCCCTGGTTCTAGTTCACCTTAAAATGAAGCCTCTTCTGGAGAGGAGAGAGGAGAGGAAATTGGAGAGGTACACTGAGACCAAGTTGGACTTAATGTCCTGCCTGGGAGTTTGGGCATCCTGGGTTCACTGGGAAGCATTAAAGAGTCTTAAAGAAGGGGTGATATGACATGATTTGCATTCTTGCAAATTATTCTGAATGCACCAAGGAGAACGGATTGTGGAGCATACACAGATACCAGGAGTTATAACAGGAGGTATGATAATGGTCTGACTTAAGGCTGCAGCCTGGAGAAAAGTGGGAAGATTCACACGATAGTAAAAATTTGGTTATCCATTAAACTTGCCCAAGGTTAAACAGCTGGTAGGCAGCAAAGCTAAATTTAGACCCCAGGTCTCCTCACTCCCAATACAGTGATTTTTCTTCTGATTTGCCATGTCAGAGAACACCTGGTCCCTCTGTTTTATCCTCCCCCAGGGAGATAGGTGATCAGGAGCTAAGCCCAGATAGCAGCGTGCAGTTTCCAGCAGGGTGATGAAGGAAGGCAACAGGAAAGGAAAAGCACTGCCTTCTCCAGATGTATTTATCTTTGCAGGATCCATGAGGGGGCTCCATGAGAATCTGTTTTCTGGGTATTGAATCCCGTACTGAAATAACACACTTTCCAGTGACAACAAACTGAAACTCCAAGTGACTATTCATTCAAGTCCAGGCCTTAACAAAAGCCATAACCCATCCTTCTGAAGGGTGGAAGGTGATAGGGAGGTACCAACTTGGGGGAAAGAGAAATAGACTCTTGTAATCACTCCCACTAAGGGGCTTTCATCTCTTCTGTTGGGCTGTTTACAGGCCTTCTTCCTTTAAGCTAAAAAGTTAGCTCCTCCAAAAATTCCTTCCTAATTACCCCTTCCCTCTTGTCCCCTGCCTCCTGCCCCAGTCTCCTTTCTTATGGCATCTATTGGTCAAGGTTTAGTACATAAAACAGAAACCCCTACAGGTATTTTAAGCAGAAAGGGATTTAATACAGTAATTTAGGGGCTCACAAAATTGGGGACACAGTTGTAGGAGTGAGCTTTGGGCCAGTAATTACTCCTGAAACACTACAGAACTGACCTACCATAGGAGCTACTACCTCTGAGACCACCACTGAAACTACTGAGTTCAAAAACCCACCATTATATTCCAGGAATCAGGAAGCCAGAATCATGACGTCACTATAGCTCCTGCCCCTCAAACCCACAAAGCTAGTGGCTGAGCAGTGAGCAGCAAAAAACATCATCTGTCCATGACCCTTCTTTCAGGAGAAAACAGCTGAAAAGGCAAGACTTCTGCTTCACTTCTACCTTCTAAATTTTGCCTAATGCCTCAAATTGACAAAGCCTGATTTTATTCTAAAACCTCAGCTGCAAGAGAAGCTGAGAAATTTGATTTTTTTATTTTTTAATGTTTATTTATTTTTGAGAGAGAGGGAGACAAAGTGGGAGCAGGGGAGGGGCAGAGAGAGACAGAGACAGAATCTGAAGCAGGCTCCAGGCTCCGAACTGTCAGCGCAGAGCCAGGTGCAGACTTGAACTTATAAACCATGAGATCATGACCTAGGCCAAAATCGGATGCTTAACCGACTGAGCCACCCAGGTGCCCCTGAGAAATTTGACTTTTAACTTTCTAGCCTCTTGGATATAGTAAGGTACCCTAGAAGGATTGAGCAAGCCACCCTACAGGCTCCAGCATGGGATATCCTAAATTACATTCTGTTTTTTTAATGTGTCTAACCACCCCTCAGCTCCTGAAGGACAGAGCTCCTGGAGGTCATGTCTGTCACATCCTTCAAGGCTGCAAGACTTGCAGATGAGAGGTCCTTGCTAAGGACAGCCAAATAATCAAATGATGAAACACAATCACTGTTTCAGTACTTTCTTACTTTGCTTTCTGATTCTGTTCCTGCCTTTAAATGTTATTTCTGAAGTAAACCCCCTTGAAGATAATGCTGGCTGGTACTTCTCAGGTGTGTCCCCACAGAGTGAGCCACAGGCTGGCCATATACATTCCTCCTAAATTAGTGTGTTGATTGTGTTTCACAACTGATTCTCACCCAGAAGTGGTTTTTTTTCCCCCAAAAGACATTTTTGCCCTATGAAGTTCAACCAACAGGAAACGAATTTCCTGCAAAAGTGTGAGGCCAACAGATCCTTCTTATATGCACTATTGTCTCATTTTGGCAGCAGACTACCTCCAAATTCTAAAAAAGGTGCCCTCTACACTATTCTACAAGGTTGCTATGAGGATTAGATAACACAGAGAGCATTACCTACCACATAGTAGATGTCAGTAAGTATCAATTCCTTCCTTTTTCCTTCATAAAAAAGTATACCTTTCTGGGATTCTGCTAAGAGACTGGCTAATTAGATCTTTGAAGAGGTATTAATGGCTAATGTATTAGTTATCTACTGATGTGTAACAAATTGCCCAAAACTTAGCAACTTAAAACAAGAAAAATGTCTTTGGCCAGGAATCTGGGAGCAACATAGCTGGGTGGTTCTGGCTTAGAGTCTCTAATGAGATGGCTGTCATGATGATGGCTTTACTAAAGGCTTTACTGGAGCTGGAGGATCCACTCTTAAGATGACTCTCTTGTGCATCTAGCCAGCTGATGCTGGTTGTTGCCAAGAGGTCTCAGTTCCTCTCCACGACAGACTCCTAAGGCTGCAGTTCCCCCAGAGCAAGTGACCCAAAAATGCAAGGCTGAAGTGGCAGTGTCTTTTAAATTTTTTTTTCAACATTTATTTATTTTTGGGACAGAGAGAGACAGAGCATGAACAGGGGAGGGGCAGAGAGAGAGGGAGACACAGAATTGGAAACAGGCTCCAGGCTCTGAGCCATCAGCCCAGAGCCCGACGCAGGGCTCGAACTCACGGACCACGAGATCGTGACCTGGCTGAAGTCGGACGCTTAACCGACTGCGCCACCCAGGCGCCCCTTGAAGTGGCAGTGTCTTTTAAACCTAGCCCCAGAAGGGACAGAACCTCCTTTCTATGATGTCCTGTTGGTTACACAGGTCAGCTCTGTGAGTACCGGGAAGCAAGGGTCACCAAGGGCCACTGTGGAGGTTGGCTGTCACACTTCATAATGGCCTAATAGGGTAGGTGAACTCTTCCATTTACTGTCATTGTGATTTGGAAGGGATTTTGAATGTCTCAATGCAAGTTTGTAAGATATTCTTAGAGATACTTTAATCTTTGTCAAGATTTTAGCTCTGGAGCACACTCATTAGACACTCAGAAAATATGTGAAGAAAGAATAAATTTGTCCCTTAAGCAACATATAAACATTCTCCAAAATGGAGCAACTCAAGAGATAAAGCATCTATGGGGCTTTCTTGTGAATATATATGTATATAAATTATGCATTGTGTGTGTGTGATAAAATGTCACCCACATGGTGAAATAAAATAAAGTACTTGGGGGGCGCCTGGGTGGCTCAGTCGGTTAAGCGTCCGACTTCAGCCAGGTCATGAACTCGCGGTCCGTGGGTTCGAGCCCCGCGTCGGGCTCTGGGCTGATGGCTCAGAGCCTGGAGCCTGCTTCCGATTCTGTGTCTCCCTCTCTCTCTGCCCCTCCCCCGTTCATGTTCTGTCTCTCTCTGTCCCAAAAATAAATCAACGTTGAAAAAAATAAATAAATAAATAAATAAATAAATAAATAAAATAAAGTACTTGGGAACATATAAACTATAAAAAATTAGTGATAATTGCTGAATTCCTTTTTATGTATACATATATATATATATATATATATATCTTTATTCAATAGATAGGAACAGAAATGTATGAAATTATGAATTACAATTAAGGAATGGAATGAAATGGTATAAACCTTGACAATTCAATAATAATAATAATAATAATAATAATAAAATTAGTAAAAATTGATAAAAGCATATGAAAACAGTTTTCCTATTTTTCTTAGTTAGGAGGCAATCAGTACTACCTAAATATGAAACCTGGATTTTTTTTTAAAGATACTGAGTTCTTAATTTTTTAAATGCTTTTTCTGTTTTCTTAACCTTAAAAGGTTACAAAAACTAAAAATATTTCCCATGGTGAATAAACATTTATCTGAAGTTTAGCAGTTTCTCTAGTTTCACTTTAATTCATTTTTCTTTTGTTCAAGTCACACAAAATTAAATATGATACTTTCCGTTAAAAAACAATAGCTGAAAAAAACAAAAACAAAACAAAAATAATAGCTCATAAGACATTACCCTATTTCTAGGAAATAATTTTGTCTTTCCATTTTTTCTTTTGCTGCTCAGGAATATGAGCACAAAGGTATCTGGAAGGACAGCTCCCCAATGTTTATGATGGCCATTTCTGCATTTGGGAAGTGGCAGTAAGTTTCTGCATTCTTCCTGTGCTCTTCAGTATTTGAAATTTTCGTAGTGACTACATATGACTTTTTTAAACATGACAAGGAGAGGCTTAAACTAAAAAGATTATGATTATTGGGTGGGTGATACTATCATCTCATTTGAAGGCATATTCCCCAAAATGTTTATGTCTTAGAACCTCAGAAGCCCTTGAAGATGTTATAGATGGGCCATCAGTTTTGAGAGGTGTACTTTACCTGCCTTTTGCCGTAGTGGGTTGGTGTGTAGAATTAATGCAACTAAGACAATGGGTTTGGTTCTCCAAATGAGCCATTTGTCTTCTCCCTGATCTGTGATCCCCATCTGTACCCCCAACCAGAACTGGACCACTTACAGAGGCAAAGCACTGATCAAGGGGCCTGCAAGTTGGAGTCTTGGTTGAATCCTACTTCCTAGTTCACAGTTGTATCAGCCGGGTCATGAAGGAATTAGGAGCACCACCAAAAAGGCAATGGAATCACAGACCCTTAGAAGGATGGCTCTGTAAACTCTGAAAAACAGAAAGAAACAGGACACAGGACTCCTTCACATCCAATTAAAATATCTTTTCAAAGTTGATCTTGGAGAAATGATGGTATTAAAAACCTTTCTACCAACAGGGAAGTTTTTGACTTTCATGACTTTTTGCATCCCTGGCTTACCAGGTTTTCTCACTGAGCATTTTGTGGGGGACCATTCCTTGTCATATAGGCTTGTCCTGCATATTGCAGGATATGTGGCCTCCCTGGCCTTCACCACTAAATAGTAGTGGTACCCCTCCTTCATTGAGTCAACCAAAAAATGCTCCCCTCATTTCCACCTTCATTCTCTACCCACCCCCACAGTGGGAAGCAGGGCAGTCCCATCCCTGGACACTCACAGTGTACCTTCTGGTTTCCATGAGGACAAGAAGAACTTTGTCTTGCTCACTGATGAATCTCTAGTGACTGACACATAGTAGGTACTCAACAAACATTTGAATTAATAAGCAATATCCAATGTAGGATCTGCTATGGAGAAATTAGTGTTTTAGGAAGATGAACATTTCTAAATATTTACATCAGCAAATCTACTCTCATTAAATTCCTGGTAGTTGGAGCCTTTAGAGCTTATGAACAGCCCCAGAAAAGCCGGGAGGACGTAGGCAGAAACTGACATTTGGTGACACCTACGGTTCGTGGAGTAGTGTGCTGCTCAGCCCTCTACATGTTGCCTTATGAGGCAGCAATCACTATTCTGCTTCCCAGATGAGGAGGAATCCCCACGTGGTACATGGTAGATGGCAGAGCTAGAATTTGGCTGGACTCCCAAGGCCATGTTCTTTTGGTTCCACCCACTGTGACCATCCCTGTGGAGTTTGCTCATCAACACTCACCCTCCTTTCAGATGCTCTCGAGAAAACACATCTTCAGAGGTTTCACAACAAAATTTGTTTTCCAGTGATGTCCAGATAAATTCCATCTCTTCGGAGGCTTGACTGCATAAATATAGCCAACATATCTCTCCCATTACAGCAGTCAAGCTGCAGGGCGTCAGAGGACAAGCATCTCAGCAAATGTCTTCGGCCACTTGCTAAATGCATACTTTCTTTAACACTCAACTGTTGTAACCCCAAGTGGCTTCTTTGGAGATCTGAGGAAAGCTCATTTGGTTAGGGCTGGAAATTTGGTTAGGAAATCTGGTTAGGGCTGAAGGAGAAGAAAGAGTGGGATAAAGTTAGATTAAGTCCCCATCTCCACACCAGGATCCCTCTGCTTTTCCTTCTTCGGTAGCTGGTCCGGAGCTGGCTGTCTCTGGAACCACATGATGTGCCAGGGCCACATACAGGGCAGTGTGACAGAACAGCTCACTTCCTCTCCCCAGGAAGACTGTTGCTCCATCCTTCACAGGACTCATGCAAGAGAGGAGGAGGGGGGAGAAGCCTTGCCAGGGAGTCTGGCAGCCTGGAGGCTGTGGCCCCTTCAGAGCAGAGACAGAGGGCTCAGGAGTGCCCATCTGTCTCCCCAGCCCATCTCCTCACCTGCTCCATCTCCTTCTCAGCACATCCTCTCCCACCAGCACTTCAATCCTCCTACTGTGCTGTGACTCTGAGGTTTCTCTCCTCTCTTCTCTTTCTCCTTCCTCCTATTCTCCTCCCTCCCCTGCCACTTCCCTTACGTCTCCCTGTAATGCCCCAGTCCTCCCACTTTTTCCTTCCTGCCTGCCAATTCCAACTGTATTCCTCTTCTCACTACCCCCACGTAATGTCCCCTTCCACTCTGGGGGGGGGGGGCTTCCTCTATTCTGTCTTCTCCAATATGGCACGAACTTATTGTTTGATTACTGATGTTCTTACTAGTGCCCTTCATTCCTGCATACCCCCCCCCCACCCCAGCATCCCACTGATGTTCATAGCATGAGGCTGTCATGACTAAAGCCTCCTAACCTTGACTCACCCCAACATGAATCCATGTTTATGCCCTCTTGGGGCCATTCACAGCAAGGACCCAACCTCATCTCCTCTTTATGGTGTTGTCTGAGCTTACAAAGCAAAGGTGAGTTTTCGATTTAGGTATTTTCAACAATGGGAGGAGCCTCCATTTCCATAGGTGCTACACTTTTATTTCTGAAACTGTGCACCCCTTACAAACTGGCTTTCTCGGGAGCATGCCATGGTTAGGGCCCTGCACAGGTTGCGTGGGAAGCTGGGATTTAACTGCCACAGGCCAAGACACATGATGGAAAGGACTGGGGTGTTTGCCATCTCCTTTCATCTGGAGGTAGAGGATGTAAATGGTATTTAATGAAAATAATAAATCTAGCTTTGGTTTCGTTTTGGTTTTGCTGTTGGTAAATCTAATCTGGTTTCACTTGTTTACCAAATGCTTTCACCACTCAGCCAAAGTTCTGAAAAGAATGGAGATTGTGCCCAGGCCCTCTCCTCCTGCTCCCTTCTTGTAGCTCCCCACACCCAGTGCCTTCTCCCTACAAGAGCACTGCCCAGCTAGACCCCTGCCCCTGTGCTTCCCAGAGCTTATGAGTAAAGGAACCACCTGAAGGTCTTATTCAAATGCAAAGTCTGCTTCTGAGAAAGGGCCTAGAACCTGCACTTAGAAATGCAGTGAGGGTCTGTCTGGGTGGCTCAGTCAGTTGAGCGTCCACCTCTTAATTTCAGCTCAGATCATGCTCTCATGGTTGTGGGATCAAGCCCAGCATTGGGCTCCACGTTGAGTATGGAGCCTGCTTAAGATTCTCTCTCTCTCCCTCTCCCTCTGCCCCTCCCCTGCTCACATGTGCATCCATTCGTATCCCCTCCCCCCCCCCTTGAAAAAAAAAAAAAAAAAAAACAAGAAAAGAAAAAAGAAATGTAGCTGATCCTCAGCCTGCACCATGAGTAACAGGGCAATAAAATGTGTTCTGCAAGGTTCAGACACCCAAAGGTCCAGGTCATTGCTTCTCAGTCTGGGCTGCACATCAGCATCAGCATCACCTGGAGAGCTCTTAACATTCTCAGTGCCCATGCTGCACCCCAGACCACTCACTGAAGCCACAATCTCTGGAGGAGGAGCCCAGGATCACCATTTTTTTAAAGCTCCCAAAAGAAAGGTGGTTGTGTGCTGTCAGGGATGAGAATCTGCTCTCAGGGTTGAAAGGAAGAAGCATTCACATCTGGCTGAAGGGAAAGGGAAGGTGCCCTGAAAACAGCATTGCCCCCTACTCGCCCAGTTGTTTTTCCATCATGTGCAGAAAGTGAGGTCATGTTTGAAGACGGAGGGTGACTTGGGGAAGCCAGTGCCTGTAATGGCTCCCAAGCACATTACAGAATGCTCGGAAGTCTATCCAAAAGCATGGAGGATGGGGCAGTGGGGTGCTGCACTAGGAGAACCCCGCTCTGGGGCCCCTTTGTCTGCTGCTTAAGACCTGAGACTTAACACCATCCCCTTAACTGCCCTTCTTTACCTGTACCCAACACCACCCCCTCCCCCTTCAGAACACCTCCACTCTGTCTCCAGAAGGCCTTCAGTGTCACCTGACTCTGAGTTGTGCCCAGATTAGAGGCTCCAGGGATAGCGCCTGATGGGATCTGTCCCAATTTCTGCACCCTCCCAGGGACAGCCCTGCCTCCCCACTCTCATCCCTGTCACTTCTAGAAAATAAACATCTGTGCAGGGAAAACATTATCAAGGTTTTACTGAAAAGAAGAGGAGTAGCCCAGGGGCCTAAAGAATATGCCAAACTAAGTCCTTGGAGAGGTTAATTTCGGAAGAACTGTATCCCTGCCAAATGGAAGAACGGGGTTGCATACTGCCCCAAGTTGCACATAGGAAGTTCCAGTTTGAGGCCATGGTTCAGTTCCCAGAAGGAGGCATGTATTTGTACACATGAAACCTAAACTACATAAAGCCAGGCCCCAGGGAGAATGGAGGACGCACTAGCCTCTGAGCTCTGCATGAGGGGAGAGAGACATCCTGGGGGCAGAGCCCATGGGGTCAGTGATGGTGTTGTGGAAAGAGCCCAGGCCTGAGCATTAGGAGGCAGGGTCAGCCCCAGCCACTGTGTCAATGCCCTGTGTGACTCAGGTGAGAACCCTCACTTCTCTGGGCCAGTGAAATAAGAATAACACCACCCTGTCCCTCTCCCCATCATGGGATCATTCAGAGAAACAAATGCAGTTCTGGATAGGAGAGTACTTTGTAGAGTACGAAGTATTATGCGCACAGAGAGAGCAGTGTGGAATTTGCAGAGTTCG